AGAGAACCATGATTAGAAATTCAACATGATAATATATAAGTGAAACTAGTAGAAATATTAGTATCACATGTAAATGAACAATATCAAGGATAAGCGGATCCTCAAGAAATTGAAGATCCATCATTTGACCCACTCTTTGTTTTACCTATAAATACACAAGGTCTAGTGCGATACATTCGTAGTGGGAGAGAACCTTGTTAACTCTCAAGTTGTTTCTTGTTGAGTGATATTGATCCTACTAGTTACGATAATGCACTAGAAGATGTTGTTGATCAAGTGTTGCTCAAGCTATGAACAATGAGATGAAATACTTGTATTTCCACTCTGTTTGGTCCTAGTAAAGACACCAAGAGGGGTAAAACCCACAAGGTGCATGTGGACATAAAAGGCAAAGAGAGGATGGACAGAAAGGTGAAAACCTTCAAAGCTAGCTTGGAGGCAATTTTTGCCAGACGCCATGCTTGAGTCTATCCAGATTCTCTTAGTTGCTATAAGTCTCAATTATGAGATTTCATTTTGGGAGTTGGATGTCAGGATATCTACATACAACAACCAAAAGGGTTTATAGCAAATGGGTAGAAACACATGGTATGCAAGTTGTGAAAGTCTATTTCATAGACTTAAACAAGCATCCAAGTCTTGGAACATCAGTTTTGATCAGGTTATCAAAATTTTGATTTTGAGAGAACCTTGATGAATGATGTGTATTTGTATGTAAAGGATCCAACGGAAGACAGTAGTTTTTCTAGTACTTTATGTAGATGATATGCTCCTTATTAGAAACAATGTGGAGGTAATATCAAGCATAAAGAGTTGGCTAAGTTAGTGTTTTGGTATGAAAGCACTGGGGAAGCCAATTATATTCTTGGTATAAAACTCTTATGAGACCGGAAGAATAAGTTGTTGGCATCACCTCAGGCTACTTACATTGACAAAACCCAAAATTCAACATGAGAATTCTAAGAAAAGAATTATAATTCTCAGATGTGGAATTCATCTTCCTAAGGAGTGACCAAAGACTTCTAAGAAGGATGAATGCATGAGCAAGATATCTTATGCTTTGGCAAAGGTAGACTCACGCATATCATGTTGGGCGTTAAACCAGACATCTGTCACGCAGTGGGAGTAGTGAGATAGTACCATTTTGAACCTAGAGGAATACTAGATTATTGTTAAGCATGTACTCAAGTATCTTTGGAGAACGAGAGATTATATGCTGGTATATTCTAGTGGGAGTCTTGAAAAGCTGAGTTTTCAAATATTCAGTTATTTCTAGTCGATATTGACTCAAGAAAATCAACCTCGAGCTATGAGTTTTTCACTAAACTCAGATAGCATTAGAGGTGGATCTTGCAGACCCAGTTACTAAGAGTTTGCCTGAACTTGTGTTCGAGAGGCATGTTACTTCTTTGGGTCTTAAGAGGATCCCAGACTTGCATTAAGCAAGTGGGAGTTATTGGTTTCATTGTGCTCTTGGAGTAAGACCATGAAACAATAAAATAATTTTCTGAATTTCATAAATAAGGTTTTATTTATTTATTTTGCGCACTACTTACAAACATAAAGGTCCGGATCAAATTGTGGAGTATATGATCATATGGATACGTTCATGGAGGACATGATCATAGGTTCTCACAATTGATGAATGGATTCACAGCTGTTAAATAAAGTTGGGCACTTTATTTAGGCTGCAATATTTTATGAAATGGTTTTGTCCGAATCATTGGAAAATATTGGTGTGAATTAACATTCACATTGAAAGGATCAAGGAGAGATTTGATTAAGGTTGTTTTTCTGTCATAAGGTATCAAATCTCTAGTTAACTATAGTTATGTAATTGCTCTTAATCCTGAGTTTATTATAAATAGGTAATCAAATAGTTTTCATTCTTTGATTTACCAACGGGTGAGGTTCGATCTATTGACGGCCAATAACTCGGTATTTTGGGAGTGAGATTATTTGATTATCGGTATTTATGAGATAAACAACATGGAATTTGTAGGATATGTCCCCTTGATATGTTTCAGTACTTGGATATTAAAGACACTGGCCAGTGCATGTAATCCATTAGAGAAACTATCATAGTCAATGGAATAAATAATTGATTGAGTTACAGAAAACTTGTCAATCCATTATAGACATTTTACAAAGGGGCGATGCATATTCATGTTATAAGTGTTGTTAATCTTGGAGTTCAAGTTCGGGCTTTTAGTGGAGTAGCACCGAATTAGATAATCATTTGTTGATTATCAGGAGCCTTGATTAATAACAGATGGTAGATCCCCAAGCTAGCTTGAGACAAGGGATGAGGTATTTTTCGGATAGATGATGACTTATGGGTTACATGATCTTGGGTTTTACGACTCAAGTTTGTATCCAAAAGAGCAAGTGGGAGATTGTTGGGTTTGCTCTTTTACTAAAGCCCAAATGGGTTATTAGTATGAGAAGAGCCCAAGGAACCTAGAGCCCAATGAGCTAGGGTTTCTTGGAACCCATATAAATAGTACCTCTTAAGTCATCAGCCTCCAAGGTCTTCTTTGTGAGAAAGAGGCAAGCTCATAATCTAATCAGTGCCCACACACTTCCCCTTCCTCCTCGAGAGATAGTTTGGAAGATCTGCCACAGTCCAGCTTCAAGGAGGTTGTTCGTGCTGCGGCACTGAGGTGAGCTGTTCGTGAAGAGGAATCCTACAAGGGAAGATTCTACACGAGACCTGCGCACCGAGAGGTAATTGTGAAACAAGGGTGATTCGGTAAGCATACCAATGTACTAGGTCCTAAACCGCTTCCGCATAAATCTAAGATTTCCTTCAATATGGTTGCAAAGTCAACTCAAGGATGCTAGAGACCTTTGAGAGATGAAAAATGTTGGAACAATAACTCAGCAAGGTGGCTGGAAGGACCATTAGCCTGAAGAGCTAGTTGAAAAATATTGCATAACTAAGGAAGAAGAGGCTTTGCTTGAATAACCATCAGCAAAAGTGTCTGTATATATATCAAGAACTAAAACTTTTCTAAGTTCATCAAGAACAACATTAGGAAGCTTCAACTGCATGAAAACTTTGGAGATCCAATCAAAGCACACTTGGGATAAGGTCCGGCGGAGGCAGACTAGAACTGTGACGATCTTAGAAGGCTGGGCAGCAACTGGGACAGTCCGATGAGGCCAAAGTGTAAATTTCATATTTCTAGCTCTCAATGCTATGTTGGCATTCTAAAAGAGACAAATAATGACACCAAAGGCCCAAGTCTAACAAGAGATGAGTATGGGAATGCTGGACTAGAGGAGGAGGATTGAACCATCACAACAGGGCTTGGCGGCTAAGAGACGACGATTGCTTGAGATTCAATGGAAGAAACAAATGAGAGAGGGTCGATGGAAAAAATAATTAACGAAGAGTTCCAAATTTTGGGGAACTCGACAGTGAAAAAGTGATTGGACAGATAACGGAGGATGCTACAGTTTTGAAAACATGTTGAATATGATAGAAAAGAGACAATATTCAAATCCGTGTGTTAAACTAGCATAGCGGAAGCTCTATTATATTGATTGACTATAACAATTACATAACACTGATTTAATGATCTGAGACTTCTTAACAATCTATTTAGATTACTTCTGACATAAGCTTATAAGAAAGGGAATGAAAGAAAATGAATCTTGTACCTAAATACATGTCCTCTACTGTATACCTTCCAGCCTCTGGCAAATTATTTTCCTCTTATTTTAGCATTATATGCTGATATTAGCATCTAATTTTACTGATAGGAACATCAATAGTGTGGATGCTATTGCAATGGAATGCACACTTGAAAGTCCACTTGAAGCACTCAAACAGGAAGGATTAGCAAGCAAAAAAGATTGGACGAAAGTGTGATGATGTTATTGGTGGGTATTTGGACTCTGTTAGAAACAAGAGATGCGGCTCTAAATATCTCATCCTCCTACTTGATTTTAATTAGAAGGCACTTCATGTAATTACGATTAAGTTCTGCCACCCATTGCTGGTTTACAAAATTGATGGCATTGTTGAAATTATGGTGCTTTATGGATGCTGTGCTTTACCATGATTAACCCGGTGAAGGGTTGAAAAAACCAGTCATTATTGGCTTTATATGGAGAGGGGAAATTGAATACGAATGTGTTTGGTTTTTTTTTCGTTTTTTTTTCATGAGGGAAATGATAAAAATAAAAATTTGTTATTTTTACAATTTTCTATAAATAGGAAGCAAAGTGAAAATTAGATGATATTTTTATAATTATTAATAATAATTTTAGTTTTAATAATAATTTACTCAATTTTGAATCTGAAATATTTTATCGAGTTACTGGATGTTTATTTCATTATTTATGTAGTGCTAAAATAATGTGATCAGGAAGAAAAGAAGAACTGGGAAGAAGAAGAATAGCTGAGAGAAAAAGAGAGGGGGATTGGGAAGGAAAAGAAAGAAGTTTGGAATTTTTATTACCAACTTACCGTAGATATATCCGTAGCGGGTTATATTGACAAAATAGCACAAACTATGACAAATGATTTAACCAGTGGTTTCTCCCTTACTGTTACTTGGTCGGATAGTCATTTAATTGAGGGGCCTCTTACCTTGCGATTGGGCCGTTATTCTTCCGCTACAATTTGTGGGCAGCCTCAAGCGCTACCATGTTTACTTTTGTTCACAAAAAGAACTTGCACCAATTTCTTCTGAACATTAATTAAATAACTTCTGAATCTATCTTTGGATCAAATTAACTTCTGTCATATTCACATATTAATTCATTACTCTGAGGGGGTGTGTGTGCGTGAGACCACAACTTTTGTACACCCAGCAATTTTTGTTTGTATGCATCACGAGAGAGCATTCGAATCTGAAGGAAGTGAACCATGCATCTAAATACTACAAACAAAAACACTGGATCCAGCCTGGCTTAGTAAATTGGTGGCCCTTCATTTTCAGAGTGAACTCAACAAGCTCAAATTAATATAGAAAATAGTGTTGCGACAACTATTCAGTATTCACATATTAAAAAATCTCATCGACCCTTTAATCCTATTTGGCATAGCATTGGTATCTAACTTTCTAAATTCCTCAGCTAAAAGAACATTTAAAAGCTTGTAACATTGGCCACCACTTTAGGACCTGAATCATTGCTGTGCACAATAACTTCGCTTGGGTCCATGATTTTCTTCTGCTAATTTTCTAAGTCTTCTTCTTTTGGTTTTCTTAAACCTCCAAATTCAAATTCAGAAACTTAATGTATCTCACTTGTTTCTTGTGTGTCCTTTTCACCTTCATTATGGCCTTGATCTTCTAATAAGCTCAAATCTTCGATTTGTTTTACCATGTCTTCACCATCTTCATCTTCATTTTCCTCCTCCTTCTCCTTATCTTCTTGGTCAATCAGGTCTTCTACTTCCTCAGGTTCTTCCTCTTCCACTCTATCTCGATCATGTCCCACAATATCATCATCCCCACCACTACTTTGTTCCTTTACCCTTTGAGATTTTGTATCATCTATCAATTGGGGTGGTTTATTTATCCATGGCTGGAACTGGAACCCTTTTCTTCCAAGCTTTTCAAGTGTTTTTGATGAGCTTTCCTCATATGGCTTCTTCTTATCATGCGAGTGTTTGAGTTGGTAAAGCAACCAGATTCCAAGAGCAATCAAAGTCAATATTTTGAAACCTTGTTTTAACTTGAACCCTTTTGTCCTCTGATTCCTATTAGGTAATTGCTTCAACATGTTTTATTTATGAATATCTCTACCAATTTGATGCAACAGCTGTTAGCAGAATCTGTGTAAGGAAGCATGAATGTTAGTATAAACTAAACAAACATATGGCAGAGTCTTATATAAACAGAGTAAATTAAGAAGCCTTAAAAGTAAAGCTTTCAACTCAACACACACAAGATAACAAAGAAAAGAATATTCTGTCGTATGTATTGAGGCTAGAAAATCCACTTTAAGGCAAAATGATTGATAAGTTTTTGTTTCAAGATGACAATGATAGTCTTCTTTCTTTATCCATTTGTTTACTACTTTGGATTAAGTGAAATAAGACAGCTTCTTAGGTACTTGCTTCCTTTGAACACATTTATAACTTATAAGTAAATATTAGTATTCCTTAAAATTATCAACAAAATTTAGAAACAGGAAACAACCCAAAAGCCTTATATGAGAAAATAGAAAGAAATGAGCAAGAATCAAGATACATACATGCCTCAAGGAAAAGTGGGTGCCTGATGAGTTGATGGTTTGAACTTTGAAGTGGATATTGCAACTTGCAAAGTTGGTAGAAGCTAATGAGAAGAAAGAGGATGAAGTATATCTAAGAAGCTAAGTAGAGAGAGAGAGAGAGAGAGAGAAGATAGCTAAAGCTCGTGAATGACATTGAGGTCACGGGCCAGCCATACATGATGTGGATGAATAATGTACATGCGTGTTTCAGTTTTTTGTGACATTCAGGAACGTGACATAACGACGTCGTTTCACTAGGAGAGGGTATTTATTACAGGTATTGAAGGTGGTTGAAAAGATTTTTCATATTTAATGCTAGGGCATGCCTTACTTTACTAATGCTACTTCTCCACAAATTTTTACTTTAATAATATTATTAATTTTGTTGCTCTATTTGACTCTTTCTATAATAAAGTCCTGTTTTAGCCTATAAGTATATAATTAAATGTACTCATAATTCTGAAATAAGTTAAATAATCTTTTTACAGATTTTAACGATATTTATTTTTTTCTCCCCTTTTTTCCCAATCAACGTCTGTCTTTCTTTGTGTTTTATTTTATCTGCGCTTGTGTATGTTTGTATATAAAGCTTTTCTGTAATACTATATATTATAATGTAAAGAGTTAAATGTTTTCTACAATAAAAAGGGCAGATTTACATAATATCTTTTTGACAAATATCATTATACATTAATCTATTATTGTTTCTACTTCTGAAATGCGAAAGCTAATGTGTTGATGATCGAAGACAATCTCAACGGATATCTAAAAAAGTTTTATAAGAGTTATGTTGTAAGAAAAGTGATTGTGTAATGTTATAGAGATTCGTTTTGCGTGCCTTAATTTTCTTTTTTTCTTTTTTCTTCAAAAAGTGTGAACCCTACAAAATGTTGTGTGTGTAGAAAAATTTGTTGTGTCATGTTAAATGACAAATGCAAACTCCTATCTAAAATATAAAAATAATTTCATTTGCAAAGTAAGATCATTTTATATCGCAAAATCCCGTTGAAAACTTTAAATCACTTAGGGCATATTTGGTACACAGTATAAGATAAAGTCTGATAGTATAAGATTCGATTAAATTTTAATAATATATAACGTTTGACATGATATTATATAAGATAATATACTATATAAGATAATATCATCCAGTATTTGATAATGCACTGTATAATATTATATAGGATAAAAATAAATATTTTTAACAAAAATATCTTTTAATAAAGAATTTATATTGTTCTCCTAAATATGTCATATGATATTAATTTTTATATAAATCTATTGATCAGTGTGTCCAAAAAATATTAAAATCTCCAATATTTTAAAAAATTATATATTGAAATTTTTTATTTTAATATATTGATATTAAAACAATATATTAATTCTTAAAAATTACACTGGTTAATACATCAACCTCTTTTCAGACCTAATCTCACCCTATAAACCTAATTAAGTTGTATATCATTTTGATATATAAAAGAATTTTGCTGTATAAGCTTATAATATATGATAATCACACCAAAACAACTAAAAATATCATAATGTATAATATAAACTTATATTATCAAATCTTATACATCACATCAAACAATTGCTTAATTTACAGCACTGAGAATTTATTTTTGTTGGTTTTCTTCTGGTCTTTGAAAGACGGAACAGTGACCATTTTGTCACACCTGGCAAAAATTTCTACCAAACTGTCACGCCAACAATAAATTTTGCCAAAATGTCACGCGGCATATTTCGCTACACTGTGTAGCTAAATATGTTTGCATATAATTCGCTACACAGTGTAGCGAAATATGCCATGTCAGGCTGCACAGTCAGCAAAAATGACACGTGTCAAGCAGGCAGAATCCAAGCATAATTCGCTACACAGTGTAGCGAATTTCTACCTGCTTGACACGTGTCATTTTTTCTGACTGTGCAGCCTGACATGGCATATTTCGCTACACTGTGTAGCGAATTATATGCAAACATATTTCACTACACAGTGTAGTGAAATATGTCACGTGACATTTTGACAAAATTTACTGTTGACGTGATAATTTGATAAAAAATTTTATCAGACGTGACATAATGGTCACTCTCCCTTGAAAGACATTCGTGCTAGCAAGGATAAGATTCCGCGTTGTTTTGTGACATGGTTGGTTATCATCGTAAATAGTTAATAAGTTGCCAACAATTTTTATTACTTTTACGAGAAATAATCATCTCATGTTTATCTCATGCAACAAAGACAAAATAGTAAAATCTATTATTTTTTTATTTTTTGAAAAAGTAATAAATCTCACAATTTTATCACTATTACATAAGATAATTAACTCGTGCAATATGAAATTAATAGATCCCTACTTTTATGTTAGAACAACACAGGAATATTTGACGTATTATTATGCGAAGCGAGACCTCTTCTCCTCCCTGACTTTGGTGCGTACCGTCATCATGAAAACCTATTAAAAAATTAAATCTAAAAATTTTAGTCCTCTAGATCAGCAGAGAATGAAAAGAAAACTTTTCCTCATACATTTATTGCGTGCATTTACTTTTCACCTACTCTGTTCCATCCTATCGTTGCTGCATAACCGACCTCTCCCATTATTTTATTTTATTTTTACAAGATTAATATTAGTTAGCTCCCGTAGATATATATGTTATTTTATATATGTCTAAATTTTACTGTTTGATCATAATTAATTTTCTATTTTTTAATACGTACTTATATAGTTATATTCTAATTCTGCTATATACCCTTGTGAGATTTAATGAGAACATGTATATCCAAGTGATGTGAAAGAAATATTCTTCTCATAATCATGAAACCCAATGCATAATTAGACCACAAATTTTTTTAATGCAATAAATATAATTTTTAAAGAAATTAAATCAATGATAAATTAATAATTTGATAATTTAACTCTGAGTTAACAAAAAAACAAATGTCAATGAGATTTCAAATATTTAAATAAAAGGAAAAATATTTATCCAAGTATATAATTTTATGTTATTTAAGATGAAATGACATCGTTTTGGTATATAATTGATAATTTTTACATTATCTCTCTTTCATAAAATTAGGAAGAGAGAGAAAATGGAGAAAGAATATAAAAGATTATCAAATATGTATCAAAATGACAATGTTTTATCTAAAATAATATAAAATTACACCCTTTAAAAAAAGGGAAAAATATTTTCGCAGTTACTGCAGAAAATTTATATGCATTTATTCCCTAAACAACGTCGTTTTAGTATTGAAATCTTAAAAAATTATAAATATTAAGACAATTATAACCCTGAAATAAATTAAAATTACAAAAATACCATGATTTTCGTCCCAAAACGATGTGTATTGAGCTTACTGCAGCTAACTTGTCTGCCGTAACTGCAGAAAAAGCGAATCCTTAAAAAAAAAACATTTTTTTCTTAAATAAAAGATAACAAGCAGGTCTCACCAGACACGGCCCAACAGGCGAAATTAGGTTGAGCTAAGTTAGGTAAAAATTTTGTAGATTTAGATTTTATTAATCAACTTCTGTACAAGTAAATTTATTTATAAAGAGTGAACTTGAGGTCTTAGTACCTATTTGGATACTCTCTTTTTTAGCTTATCTTCTTTTTTATAAACAAAAATTAGGTTAAACAGATTCTTACAAAAGCACTTATAATAAAAAGAATTTTTTTTATAATAAAAAAAGAGAGAGTCAAAATCAAGAAGTTCCTAAGAGGTGTTTTTTTTTTTAAATGTGTTTTTTTTTATGAACAACTTTTAGATGATTTTTAAACTAAAAAATTTATGTAATCATCAAACATCTTTATAACACCTCGTATTTTGTAAATGTATTATTATATATGAAAATATGGTTTAAAGGGTAGGATTAGTGAAAATCCTGAAATTAGGGTCAAATTGCATAATAAGGGTAAAATGGTAATTTACTAAATACGTAACCCTAGGAAAGAAAATTTGAGTGTGAGATCTCAAATGAGAAAAATAATACTGGAAATGGATTCAGGACGGAAAATTGAGTGGATAGGCAAGTTTCAGAAAATTTGATGAATAGTTATTTTACCGGTGTAAAATACTGTGGTATAATTGTACCGATAAGTGCAAAAATATGATCAGTATCTCTAAGAAGTAAAAATATGATGTGGACGAGAAAAATACGTAGGTTATGAATTTGTGAGTTAAAATGGATGATTTAAGAAAATTAATTGACGTGTGGGACCCACTTAAGTGACTTAAGTAGGTGGGAAGTCAAAAACATCACGAAATCTGATTTTTCTCTCTCCTCTCTTCCTCTCCAACCCGTGGCTTTCTCCTCCATGAACAAAGCTTGAGTTCAAACTTTCATTCAACCAAATCAGCATCAAATCCACTCCAAAAGCCTAAGTGTTGCACATCAAAGTTCAAGTAAATGACATTCTAAACCCAATCATATCACTCTCCACTCTTGAAACTCAATATTTTGGGAGAAAATCCTCACCCTCTTCCACGAAACTTTGGAGAAAAATAAGTATTCTTAGGGTTGTTGCTCAAGTCATTCCTTGGGTATTGTGTGGAGGAGCTTTTGGCCTTGATCCTTGATTCCCTCTCACGGACTCGATAGAGGTGGAATAAGCTTGGAGCTTACGTTGAGGAGCATTGTCTTCAGAGTTGAGGTAAACTCTTGGTACTTGATTTTTATCCCTCGTGTGTTCCGCTACACCTAGTGGAAGGTCGTGGTTGGATTTTGTGCTCTTCGACATTGTGTGAAATTGTATAATCATGCATGATTGCTTGATTGTGTGACATATCTGTGATCTCTGGCCAGTAAATGTGTGTGGTTTGGACTTCCGCTGGAGATATCCCTTTGGAGGATTCCGATCAGGTTTTACCGTGGAGCCGACTCTGCGAGTGGTACCCGGATGATCCAAACGTGGGACTTTCGCTGGATAGGTCTCTTGAAGAGTTCCAGTTGGGTTTTGTAACACCCCGTGTATACCCGATTTGTTAACATGTCATCGTATTAAGTCATGCTTAATTTAAAATACGGAATAACTTTTTACTTTCAATTATGACGTCATTTATATTACCAAGTTGAATTACTTAATTAATTTAAAAAACATTGTCTGTATGT